CGGCATTGCTGTCTGTCGGGTGTGGACCTTGTCACCACCTCTGCCTGTGAAATGCTCCTACGTGCAGACAGAGGCCGCGGGTGGACTGTGCCACAGACCTCAGGGGCACCTGAGGTGATTTAGCTGAACGATCATTGTGAGCCTGTTGCCCATCGGGTTCTCTGCCGTCTTCCTTCACCGGCGTGTAGACGCTCCTGACACCGCCCATGTTGCAGATGAGGGAAAGGAGGTCGGAGCAGGTACAGCCGCTTGCTGAGGGTCACGGAGCTGTGGGTGGTGAGTTCGTGCTCTGGTCCCGGTTCTGCGACCTCCCTGCACCGTGAGGCCATGAGCTGTTTGTGGGGTCACTCACGGCACCGCAGGCTGTTCTGAGCATGGAATGAGGGGCAGACACCACCGGCCAGCGCCTGAAGAAAGCCCACTGGTTTGTCCTATGGTGGGAGGAGGGGCCTGGAAGGGATGGGGAGATGGCTTTCAGAGAGCACAAGGCCAGCTGGGTTACTCAGAGCGACGGCAAAGAGACGCGTGTCCAGAAAATTCAGGAGGAATGGAGCCCACTATTCTTTCTATTCTTTTTCTCTCCACCGCCCCCCCCCCCATTCTGTCTCTTTTTTTCTGAAGCAAAGCCGTGTGATGCTGTAAGTCTCTACTTGAACGTGCGATTTCCAGAAAGAGATAAATCATGGTGGCTTGTTGAATTGGGCCCTGACGGAGCTGGCCATTTGGCCTGTTGGATCTGTGCTCCCCTGCCTGGGCTGACCTCATGAACCCTCTCCCTTCTGCCGGGGCTGCACACACTGGAGACCGTCCTCCTTCCTGGTGTCTGAGGCTGGGGAAGGAGCTGGCTGAGACCACCGACTCAGCAGAACCTGGCACCCTCCGTTGGGCAGCCTTCTGGCAACATGTTGGGATTCCAGACTGTAGCTGGATTTGAACCAGGTGCTCAGAACCACAACTCACATGATTTCCCCCTTAAATCATAGGTGTTCTTCTCTCCACGTTGTATTTTTGTGGTTTCCTCCACTGGTAACGTGTACCCTAATTGCTAAAAAAGTCACGTCTTTTAAAAGAACATTTACATGGGATGAGAGCCCACCCATGGAGGGACTTCAGCTGTGCCCTTTGAGAGATGAATCCGCGGGGCAGTGTTCATGTCCGTGAGCAAGGATCAGGTCTCTAAGGTGCAACTGGCCGGCCCACAGCTTACGAAGCTGTTCACTGTCCCTCAGGCCCCCCCGTTTTGAAGCCTTTTTCTGCACCTAAATCCTAGAATCTCACCCGTTTCTCTCCCCCATTCCAATTGCTGGGAATTCTTCAGCACATCCTTATCTCCAGAAAACCATAAGGAGAGAGTGAGAGCTGATTTCTGGTTTGGGGTTCATGGATTCTAGTCGGCACGCAGTTTTGCTGCCTGGAGAGTAACATCCAGCTTTCTTCCACATCCTTGGGGACAACGTTGCCGGGAATGATGTGAGGTTTGGGGGAGGCTTTTTCTCCAGAGACAGTTGGAAGACAAAGTAAACAGCACCCCTGGATCTTCTCCAAATTCTGTTGCAAAATACTTGACTCATGGAGCAGGTTACCAAGGACACTTGACTCTGCTTTAAAATCACTTCGTACTGTTAAGAAAAAGATGGAATTATTTTTGTGTGGCCTGGTTTGAGCAAATACCAAGCCAATTTCGGGGGCTGGTGTGCAAGCTCAGGGCTGGTTGGTCGGGGAGAAAGTGCGCCCGAGGGTGCAGGGAGCCCTCTCCAAGGCCCCCTGGGGCCTCAGCCTCTTCACCCCGAATCCGCAGCTTCTGGTCCTCAACCCCTAGATTACACAATACTGCCTTAATCCAGTGGAGAGGCTCTCTTGTGAGGGGCATCGGATGACTACATAGCGTATTTACAGTTAGCTCAGAATGTTAAAACCTGAGTAGTCATATCCAGAAATATTACTGAAATATTATCATTTCCAGTCCAAAATAGAACACATTTTTTGACTCATTGCAGAAACACATGATAACAGTAAGCTGATGACTAAAGATGGTTAAGCTCTTTAAGAAATCTGGATTTGTGCTGGGGAAATTGGACAGCTATGTCTGGAAGAATGAAACTCGACCATTCTCTTACACCACACACAAAGATAAACTCAAAATGGATGAAAGACCTCAACGTGAGACAGGAATCCATCAGAATCCTAGAGGAGAACATAGTATCCTGTTCGACATCGGCCACAGCAACTTCTTTCAAGGTATGTCTCCAAAGGCAAAGGAAACAAAAGTGAAAATGAACTTTTGGGACTTCATCAAGATCAAAAGCTTCTGCACAGCAAAGGAAACAGTCAACAAAACAAAGAGGCAACCCATGGGATGGGAGAAGATATTTGCAAATGACAGTACAGACAAAGGGCTGATATCCGAGATCTATAAAGAACTCCTCAACACACACAAAATAGATAATCACATCAAAAAATGGGCAAAAGACATGAACAGGCACTTTTCCAATGAAGACATACAAATGGCTATCAGACACATGAGAAAATGTCCATCATCACTAGCCATCAGGGAGATTCAAATCAAAACCACATTGACATACCACCTTACACCAGTTAGAATGGCCAAAATTAGCAAGACAGGAAACAACATGTGTTGGAGGGGATGTGGAGAAAGGGGAACCCTCTTACACTGTTGGTGGAAATGCAAGTTGGTGCAGCCACTCTGGAAAACAGTGTGGAGATTCCCTAAGAAATTAAAAATAGAGCTTCCCTGTGACCCTGCCATTGCACTACTGGGTATTGACCCCAAAGATACAGATGCACTGAAAAGAAGGGCCATCTGTACCCCAATGTTTATAGCAGCAATGGCCATGGTTGCCAAACTGTGGAAAGAACCAAGATGCCCTTCAACGGACGAATGGATAAGGAAGATGTGGTCCATATACACTATGGAGTATGATGCCTCCATCAGAAAGGATGAATACCCAACTTTTGTAGCAACATGGACGGGACTGGAAGAGATGATGCTGAGTGAAATAAGTCAAGCAGAGAGAGTCAAGTATCATATGGTTTCACTTACTTGTGGGGCATAAGGAATAACACGGAGAGAAGGAAGTGAGTTGGGGGAAATGGGAGGGGGAGACAAACCATGAGAGACTGTGGACTCTGAGAAACAAACTGAGGGTTTTGGAGAGGAGGAGAGTGGAGTGTCGGGTGAGCCTGGTGGTGGGTACTAAGGAGGGCACGGGTTATATTGGAGTACTGGGTGTGGTCCATAAGCAATGATTCTTGGAACACTGAAAAAATAAAATAAAAGTAAAAAAAAAGAAAAGCAATCTGGATTTGTGGAGATAGGTTCAAAGGAAGAAGCGAGCAGAGCAGGGCCCCAGAAGGTTTAAGAGAAGGCCATAGGCTGGGGCCCCCTTTCTATCCCAGAGAGTTCTTAGCAGAGGTAGAACCGTGTGTTTTGAAGCCTGGAGGCCGTGGACTGTTCTCCCGGGGGGCAGGAGCTGCAGCTGGGGGGTGAGCCCTTTGGCTGCCGACTGGAGGGCTGGGCATACCATGGTGCTTCCCGTCTATTGGAGGATTAAACCTTCCAGATGTGTGTCACTTGGCTGCTCTTAGACCCGCAGCAGGAGGAGTAGATGTGTTTCCTCCCGAAGCTGGGAGCTGACCCCACAAGAGTGTGGCCAGAGCGTACGCACTGCTGGAGAAAGGTCTATTGTGTGTGCGTTTTGTTCCTTGAGGTAAACCCGCTGACCTTTTGGGAGAGTGTGTGAGAACCCACTGCCTTCGTGTGATTTCCGCCCATGTTCGAGAGAATGAATGGTTTCCGCAGGGGTGTGTTAAGTTCTCTGGGCGGAGAGAACTTCCCCTAGGATGAATTGCTGGTACATTCCCTCCTATATTACTGTTACAACCCAAGACATAGGGTAAACATTCTTAAATGTCACCAAGTCTACATCTTCAGCACAAATGTTGGTTTGTATCTCAACGTCACGTTCAAATTATAAGACACGTCAGTGGGTTTCACGTTCCGTGTGGTGAGGTGTTTTCGCTAAGGCGTGCACCCCAGCAGCAGACGGTGGTGATTCTCAATGAACCCTGCATGGACGGTTCTGAGCGCAATTAGCAGGTAAACTCCAAATTCATTCAGAATAGAATTTTCTTTTTTTAGTCCTTCGGGCAGTGCAATAATGGCGAGGGAGTCAGGGCTGGTTGCCGTTTTGAGCTCCAGGGGAAGAGAGCCACGCCTCACAGGTGTAGGGCAGACCTCTTGGTGTGACATAGCTGTAGACTCGCTCTCGTGACTTACTCCCACAGCCTTAGCATTTTCCCAGCATTCTTCCGCTAAAAGACAGTTGCTCAGTTTTCTTTTGTATAGAATGAAATCCAGCTGGAAGCAGGGTTTTCTTGATCTTTGGTTGCATAACTTTTTTTAAAAAAAAGATTTTATTTATTTATTTGACAGAGAGAGATCACAAGCAGGCAGAGAGGCAGGCAGAGAGAGAGGAGGAAGCAGGCTTCCCGCTGAGCAGAGAGCCCGATGCGGGGCTCGATCCCAGGACCCCGAGATCATGACCTGAGCCGAAGGCAGTGGCTTAACCCACAGGGCCACCCAGGCGCCCTGGTTGCATAACTTTTTATTTAAAAAAATGTTTCCTTTTTAAAATAATGTGCTCTGCTGCGTCAACATGGCAAAATGCATGTTAAGGGGATTAGGGCATTTCCAAGTGAAGGAACGGTGATCTGTTTATTGCATATGGGAGTGTATGTCCTCACGTGCGTGGCCAACTAACGAGTCAGCAGCAGACGTCGGAACTCGTCTTTGGTTTGCTAGTCGAGGGCCTGTGACTGCAGACGACGCTGTCTTCTCAGCATACACGACGGTGTGCGTCGTTTGACTAGGAAGCGACAAGCACTGTGAACTGCTCAAAGTGGGACCCAATATTTGTGTAACAACTGTCGAAGACCACTTGGGAACCAAAAATAATTTATTCCTCGTTGTCCCCTTTTAGGTTCCATAAATGAAAAGGTGCCCCAACGGGAAGGCACAGGAAAAACAGGTAACTATCTTAAAATAAATTTCTATGCTGATAACATGTAGCAGCTGATTCAATTGTAGTGTGGACTGTGTGATAAGGAGAGCTGACGCACTTGACTACTTACTCATTCAACCCCCATGTATGGGTCCCTTTAGATGGGCAGGGACCTGAGGGGCTGGCGTATAACCCACGCTGCCCACGTGAGGGCCTCCCAGGTGGGGCTTTGCTGGGACCCTGGTGCGGGCAGGTGCCACAGGGGTCTGTCCCTGTGGGAGGGCTCTAGTTTGGTGTTGGGTTCCACATGTGGTTGTGGAGTCTGGGCAGTCACTGTGGCCCATCAGAAAGAGGGGTATGCTTTCCACCTGTGACAGTCATGCCCTCGGGGACTGGGGACAACGAGAACCAGGTAGAGCAGCGGGCCGTGCGCTTTTGGAACCCCTCCGTGGCACCTGGTTCATCTCACACAGGCCACGGCACATCCCCATGACCGTCCACGAATCCCAAATATTCTCTGTGCCCTTCCTGCAGTCATCATCCTGTAGACTCAGGGATGTGTTTTTCCTCCTTTATATCGACTTTTAAAGTCAGAAGTTGTTTTCAAGAGAAAATAAAAATTTTTTAGAACCAAAATTTTAGGCATTTTTTTTTCTGATGTAGGTTATAGTGTATGACCCAGTAACGAAGGAAAGTGGTGTAAAGCCGAGTAGACCTGGGTTTCATTCAAGTCCATTCCCACAAGCCGGCACTGAGGCTGTGGCGGGCATCGTCCCTGCCCTGGGAAGATGGTGGAGTCCCTCAAGTCATGGAGATAAACACAGGGGATAGGCATCTGGGATGCATCAGCCGTGAGGACAGTGTGCAAGGGGGGCTTGGTGGGAGTGTGCGCGGACCAGCCTCGTGAAAGAGGGGGTGGTGGGTGGGCGTGGAGTGTGTGGACATGGGGATGGTATGACGTAGGACAGAACAACCATATAATTGGGGAAAATAACCCATTTTCTAGGGGAAAGACAGCAGCAGGCAGAGTTAGAATACTGCATGGAGCAAGGGTTTACGTTCGAAAAAGAATGTTCGATGACCAGCATGGACTTGGGTCTGTGAGGTCCCAGGGCGGGCCTGTCAGTATTTTGTAGAGGGGAGGAAGGGGCAACTTTCATGATTACGCACCTCAGTCAGAGGCTCGGGGGGCAACGGTGACAAAAGCAAACTCCCTCTGAAGCGGTTTTCTGACTCAGGCCTTGCAGCACCCGCTCTAGAGGTCAAACGAAAATCCCTAGGGAACTGGTATGTGAGCACAGAAATTAATTTAAGGCAGGAACACATTCCTTCTACTGAAGGCTCTTGCTATATAGACAGTTACACAACAGAGAAAATGCCTGAAATTAAGCTGCACAGCTGGCTTATGGATAAAAATGAGGCCTTTGCTAACTCTAGTGGGGAAAACAGAAAGCACATGGCACTCCCCAGTTTTGTTTCATTTTCTTGGGTCTGAGTTCAGTAGGTGCTGGTATGCTTGTTATGCTGGGACAGAACTCCACACGGGCCTGAGTGTAGACGCTGGTGGAGGGCGGTCATGCTGATGGGGGGTAGGGCCTGGACCAGGAGACACGGGGGCCCCTGGTGCCAGAGATGGGGGGTCACGGGGGCCTCATCCTCTCCCCGTGCCCTGAGCCTCGCCCGCCATGAGTGAGCTGGGCTGACTTTTTTAGGCTGGCTTGGACCCAGTGATTTTGGGAGCAGACTCGTGGCCCCACAGTGGTGACGTGGCTAGGCCTCAGTAAAAACGTACAGCACTAATAATGTGCTGACTGACATCACTTCAAAAGACTTCTGAATGTGTTTGGTACACTGTAGATACGTCCCCGTTTAGTTTTAGTTTCTGGAAGGAGATGACGAAATATTTGATGGGCTTACAGGCACTACCAGTGTTAGAACTTGAGTTTCTCGAATAGGCAGCATTACATTTTTTCAGTGTTCTGACAGAAAGCAAACTTTTTTTTCCCCAAAAGATCTTTGTGTGTTAAAGTTTTTAAAAAAAAGCTTTTTGGTTTCCCCCCAAGAAAAGTTTATGAGAAACTTCGTTTTTATTCTTCAGACATCTGGGAAAGTCATGAATCACAGATAAGCCTTGTGGCTGGTCCTCATCTCCCTCACTATTTAGCGTCTTTTAATCCTGAAATTATTATATAACCGAATTGCGTGAGCAAGCTTGAGGGAAAGGCCCAGGCTGGCTCTTGGGAGCCCTGCAAGGTGCCTTGTGACCGCCCCCAGGGCAGGGGCCCCGCTCACCCAGAGCAGACTTCCAGCAGCTCCTTCTCCACATCTCCCTGCTAGATCTCAGAACTTTCTAGAACCTTAGGCCCTACCAGGGATCCCACAGCCAGTTTTTTTACTGATTAAGTAAAGATTATCCACGGGACCTGTGCCTCCAAAGAGAACGCAGAGCACTGCTGTGACCCCCTGGCCCCCCGCTCTGTGACGTTGACTCTTGTCCCTCCATGCGTCCCTTGCCCCAGCTTCTGCAAGGCTGAGGGATGGGCTGATGGTGCAGGGGTGCCCAGAGCAGGAAGTCAGACACGATTCTTCGATCCCGACCTTGTGCTCAGGAAGATGGGGTGGGGCCGGAGCAAGCATATCTGAGGTCCCCGAGCCTTCCCAGCCCATGTCTCTGACTTTGGTCACCCCAGCTCGCGGACTCTGCCAACATGAGTCCCCTCCCCGCTGCTGTGCTCCCTGGTTTACGTTATTCTGTCTCTTGCTCGCCAGTCCCAAGCTGCTCTGGCTCCTAGGGACACCCAGCAGCTCCCCCAGGGCCGGTTTTCTGCCAGCATGTACCTTATGTGGAAGCACCCCAGGGCCCCTGTGCAGTTTATGGGGAGCCCCTGCCCGGCTCCGCTCACCCGTGCACCTGGGGTGGTGGTTTTGGCTGATGTGTGGGGTGTATGCAAGCCCCCCGCTTCCATCCTGTACGTGCACTTACTGAACTTACTCTCATAATTGTAGTCTCCTTGCAAATCTTTTCCGTTCTGAATTCAGATGATGCCACAGCTCCAGCGCTGGAGACTCAACCCCAAGGAGATGAGGAAGGTGAGCCCAGGAGAAAACAGGGTCTGGCTGGGGGAGGATGGCGGGACACATGGGGGAGGACGGCGGGACGCATGGGGGAGGACGGCGGGAACGCATGGGAGGACACGGAAACACACTGGGATAGTCGTGGGCAAGGACAGTGGACGTGAGCCCGGGAGACACAGGGTCTGGTCGGGGGAGGAGGCGGGTGTGCACGGGGCCATCATGGGCCTGGGAAGTGCAGGCAAGTCACGCTGCTGGGAGTCCCCTCAAAGTGGACTGGACTTGGCCACTTGCAACTCTATGAGGGCTCCTGCCATCCTTCCTGGTGGCTCTGGAGAGGGCTCGTGAATGGGGCCATGTGCTTTCATACAGCACGACACAGAGGTCTTTTTTTAAATCAAAATTTATGAGTTGAGATTGTACAATTGGGATGGCATAAAATATTTATTTCAAAGGGTGTAGACACGTACATCCTGTTCCTTGCTCATGTGTCATGTCTGACATCATGTCTCCACCGCAACGCGATGCATGAGATGAAATTTGTGAGGTCACGTGTGTGCGGGTGTTTCCAACTTTGTAGTGATGGCAAAGGTGGATTTCCCATTCCTAGTCTTCCTTCCTTTCTTTCTTTTTTTTTTTAAAGATTATTTATTTATTTGACAGACAGAGATCACAAGTAGGCAGAGAGGCAGGCAGAGAGAGAGGAGGAAGCAGGCTCCCTGCCAAGCAGAGAGCCCGATGCGGGACTCGATCCCAGGACTCTGGGATCATGACCTGAGCCAAAGGCAGAGGCTCACCCCCCTGAGCCACCCAGGCGCCCCCATTCCTAGTCTTTCATACGTCGCCTTCAGTATTTGCCAAAGGCTCACAGGTGCTCAGGTCAAAAGGAACAAGTGTTTGAAGATGAAATGATAAATAAGTCAGAGACTGAAAGGTAGAATGACAAGGTGCTCCGTAGAGAGCGGGAACAGGAGGGCTCACGTCCGCAGGGCCCCAAGTCAGCTCACGGAATCCGTGGATGCTGCGGGTCTGAGGTCACAGGCTGCGAGCGTGGAGGGTGGCTCTGCCGCGGGGTCTCGGGCCCGTGGTGTGAGTGGTGCGCACGGCAAGCGCTCAGGGGTTTGTCCGATGGTACTGCAGAAAGGGATCATTCCTGAAATGTCTTACACAAAATCGTATCTTCTGTGTTGTGGTTTGTACCAAGTCTTCCCTGAGCAGAACCGCGTGTGCCGCACAAACGTCCCCTCTTTGCGACACGAGGGTGGGTTTCTGTCGGGGTTTCTCCCTGGAACCCGCTTCTTTGACGTGAGGCCAATCTGAAGACGTATAATTCTTGTTTACAGTCTGGGGGGAGGAAACGGGGAGGGAAAAGCAAATGCCCAATGTCTAAAAATGTATATAATGCTTGCCTTTTGTCTCACATGCATAATCATTTTAACAGTTTCTTTAAAAATGTGCACAACGTGTGTCCTGAGCGCACTGCCATTGGCTTTTAGGCCGCCTACCGAGCTCTTTCATCGAGAGACTGTGTCTTCAAGATGCTTTGAAAATAATCATCACTTTGTTTTGGTTTCTTAGATATTGCATCACGTTACCCCACGCTTTGGACTGAGCAAGTTAAAAGTCGGCAGAACAAAACCAGTAAGAATGCAGGTAAAAAGGGGCCCAACGCCACTTTGTGAGGAGGGTTTTGGTCGACGCAGGGAGTGGTTTTGTTTTCTGGAAGTTAAGCACAGACTCCACTTTTTTTCTCAATTTTTGATGACTCACGCAAATGATTCTTGTGACTTGACCACCAAAATGTAGCTCAGATATTGGTGTTTTTATTAAGTTTTCTAAGTTCCTTAAAAGGGTTCTCTGAAAATGTCAAGCAAATGAGAGCTTCAGTATAAAAATAGAAGTATTTGATACTAAGTATTTGTTTTTGACCTCATTTCGGAGATGTCCAAACACTTGGTTAATTTAGTTCAAAATCCTCAGAACTATGTGGATTGCATTTGCTACAAAGGAGTGTTCGACAGAGTTTTACACTTTTTAAAAAAGATTTTATTTATTTGAGAGAGAGAGAGCCCATGCATGGGGGCGGGTGCCGGGGAGAAGCAGGCCCCCCGCTGGGCAGGGACCGACTTGGGACTCGATCCTGGGGCTCTGGGATCCTGTCCTGAGCAGGAGGCAGTCACGTGACCAACTGAGCCGCCCAGCGCTGGAGAGTTCTGTGCATTAAGGCGACGTGCAAAGAGGTGACGGTGCCTCCGTTGACAGGTTTTGCCGGGACGGATGCGTTCTGTGCGCTGCGAGCTTAGCGGGTCGTGTGCGTGCTCGCCTGGCTGCTCCCACGGTGTTCCTGTGTGAGGACCTAGTGAAAGTGTCCTTCCAGGGTTGGGGTGTTCAGCTGCCGGGGACCACAGACGAATCACAGGCGGTCTGGGACGGCCTCAGGCGTGGGCTGCGAGTTCGCAGAAAAACAGCCTTAGAATCGCAGCTCGGCCGCCTGTGGTTGCGGGTTCTCCGTCCTGGTGTGTTTCCACGCCCACTGACAATTAACAAAAAGAAATTGGAAGTTTTCCCGCATTCAGGATATGAAGGATAGTTTGTCTTCCCCTCCGTGTACCCTGACGCGCACGCTGAGAGGGACTCCCGATGGGAAGCCCCGAGTCTGGGTGTCTCGAGGCTCCTTCAAGGCCCAGGACAGAGGCTCTGCTCTGCGGTGGGGACGGTCACTGACCCAGCTCCCCCGAGGCAACACGGAGAACGAGCTGTGGAGGCGCCTTGGGAGGGCTGGGGTGGGACGGGACTGCCGTGTTCTTCTGGTGCGACTTCCGCCCGGACGCCCCCAGTCACCTCCTCCAGCCCCGCAGCACAACGCTCAGCTCCCTTGTCACTGCCGAGGACGCCACCTGCACGCGTCCTCCCGGGTTGTAGCCCCGCCGGGCTGGGATGAGAAAGGGAAAAATCCACGGGTCTGACTCTCAGATACACATGTGCAAATGGCAGGGAAACCATAATCGTGTTTCTAGAATTTGCATTTTCTTTCTCTGAAGGGATTGGGAGAAGTTTGTCCTGTCGTATAAAGATACAACACGCATCCTTCTCTCACAAACTTTAGAAACGGGGAGTTTAGCTCAGTCTTGTCGCTCTGATTCCCAAAGCGATCTCGTTAGATTTGCCCTGTAGTGTGTGACGAGCGTGGGGGAAATGAAGAACACGTCGTCTGTTTTCCGTGGGTCTTGGAGGCGTCTTGGGAGAAGCAGGGTGGCCGTCCCTGAGCTTTACTTGAGGAACGCGTAGGAAATGATTCTGAATGATGTCTCTGGAAACGTGCATTTTCTATAAAAGCAATTTGACTTGTCTGAGGACATGATTTCGGTTTTGACAGAGTAAGCTGCCGTGGGCAGACACGTCTCTGTCACTCGTCACGGGCTCCTACCAGAGTCCCGGACTGACGGCAGCATGCCAGGCTCTCGCCATGTGGGGCTGAAAATGATGTTTCGGGAAGTGCCCGTTTACCTAAGTCACCCTCTGCTACAGTCTGATTTCAGTCGGCCCGTGCGAGCGGACTTACGGAAGATGACACTCGTTGCTACCTGGACACGGGGCATGGAATTCCTGGGTTCTCAGTTGTCTAGATGCACGTTCTTTCCCAGGGCCTGAGGAAGGTCCCGGCAAACTGGTATTTTACAAAAAGAAAATAGTCTTGGATGGGCGCAGTGGAACAGTGAAACCGTTGTTGAGGTTTCAAATGCAAAACGAGCTTCAATTTTAATTTTTTCATTTAATTTTTAATTTTTCAATTTTAAGGCGGGGGAGGGACAGAAGAAGAGGGAGAGAGACTGTCCAGCAGGCTCCACGTGCAGCACGTAGCCCGACGCGGGGCTCGCTCGCAGGGCCCTGAGACCATGACCTGAGCCGAAGGCAGAGGCTTAACCCACTGAGCCACCCAGGCGCCCCACTAATTTTTATTTTTAAAAGATACTTTTGCTAATGATCTTCTCTGATAGAAGCAGGCACATTTATTTAATGAAGCACAAATAATTGGTGATTGTTTGCTCTTCTGTATATTTTTTAAACAGCTGTTTGTCCTTATTCCATCATGCCCTTTCACAGAAGAGGCCAGACTGGGAACGCATTTCTCTTTCGTTCTGATGTTTCTTTGTGAGTTAAATGTCCCTCCGTATTTGCCCTGCGAGCTTGTGTTAACATGATGTAATATTACTTAAGCTACAAAGTACGCAGAATGCGATCGCCGTGCACAGTGAGTGTGTGCCGTGGGCCTGTGGTCATGCTTTGGAACATTCCGTGGAGTTCACTAGGAGGGACCTTTCCTGCAGAGGAAAATGGGGCTCTCCAGTCTATGAGAATTTACACATAGTGGGCACTTAGTGTTTATTAAATTAGTAAAGAGTTTGACCACATGGTTTCCACGGGCTCTCTGATGGCGTCGCTACTACTTTTCCCTGAAACAAACTCAATGAAGCAAACAACAGAAAAAAAACAGATAACTAGAAAAGAGAATTAATTTCAGTTTCAGAGAATTAAGTTCAGTTTGACCATTGCACTTTTATTAACCGAAATTCAATATAAACATGAATGAAATCATCTCTTGGTGATTCATTCAGCAAGAAGAGCATCAGTCCCGTTAGGTGAGTCATTATACATCGACGAGTAAAACCTGAAATGGTGCTTTGCTTAAGAATGTATGACTCAGTTTTCCTTCTCACTGTAAAATTGAGAGTGTCAACTACTATCTTGAATCATTTATTCTGTGGTTTTATTTCTATCCAATAAGATATAAAAGTTGATCCCCAAATTTTACCAGATGAGAGGTTTTGTAACATATGGTCGTTGAATCATGTAAAGTTCGTGTATAGAATGTGGAAGGAGTCAGAGGTGGTTTCTGAACAGGAAACTTCTCTAAAAGTGCTCTCACACCAGAGAACAAAAACTCAGTGTTGTTTGCCATATGAACCGGAACGGAGCAGGACTCCGGGAAGGGAGTAAAATGGGTCCATCTGGCCACGACAGAGCTCGCCTCTCTGCAGTGGAAGGGACCGTCCACGCCCCGTAGCCCAGTATAAATTAAACGAAAAGGGAAAACACAGTTCTGAACGTCAGAGAGATGGGGAGATTCGGTGCCGTGGCTGTGCTTTCTTCAGCTACCGAGTGCACTCCTCGGAGAAGCTGGCTTTGGTGAGCGCCTTCCGCAAAGGATGGGCTTTAACGCAATTATGAACTCCAACAGCTGAAGAAGCCACAGAGACGACCTCGTTCAACCCATTTAATGGAACGATCGCGGAAACAGACCTCGGGACAGACAAGTTATTCACTCCAGGCAGCACGGGTGGATATGTACTTTTTAAAAAACGTGCTGTCCCTTAAGGAGAAGCCAAGTTGCACAGACGTAAGTGAACTGGGAATGTTCTAGTAACCTGCGAGGCTTATTGAGGGGACGAAAACCCGAGGCTGAGGTGAGCTCAGGCGTGTACTTCACTCGGGGACCGGGGGGTAAGGCCGTGTGGTCCCCTCAGTCAGTCCTGGCCGTGGCTGCCCCTTGGGTGTGCCCACTGCTCCCCAGGACTCTGACCTTCCTTCACACTGAGCTCTGGTCCCCTCAGTCTGCGTCCCCTGGGGACGTGTGGTGCTGCTGGCCCCAGCTCGGCCCCGGCTCCCGAGCCCTCCCTACCTTCCCACATGATCGGCACGTTCTGGCCCTTCTGTCCTGCCGAGTCACAGGTCTGGGTCTTTACAGGTTTTCGTGATAATCTGGCACTTTGCAGACGAGCAGATTCAGGAATCCGCCCTTGAGTCCGTGACAGCCCGATGGCCGCGTGGCGTCCGGGCCACTGGGACCAGGCCTTGTCACCGTCCGCAGCCTCAGGGTCCGGCTTCGGAGCAGCATGCGCTTGCAGGGCACCCCTTCAGGACAGGCTCGCTCTGGGGGCGACAGGGTGACTTGGCCACATCTCTCTTTGAACTCGCACACGCTGTCGTTCTTGTTTCCATGTCAGTCGCTGTTCATTTCGGATGCTCACCTCAGGCCTGTGTCTGGAAATATCTTCACTGAAGTCAGTCCCATCTTAGTGCCGTGAGGAGGTGGCTTGCCGTCAAAGGCTTCGCTTTCTCAGCTCCGGAGGTGACCGTGGTGGAGTTACGAGTGAATGAATGGCTGTGACCGTCCTTCTTCCGATGTCATAGTTGGTTCCGTGACGTCCTGGGCGACCCCACATGACGCGGAGTGGGATGCCCGTGGCAGGGCTCTTTGGGTCTGCTGATGTGTCGGGGCTTGCGGGGATCAGCCGACAGTGGCTCTGTGGGTCTGCTGATGTGTCGGGGCTTGCGGGGATCAGCCGACAGTGGCTGACGCCTCCCACCAGCTCCACATCCCCCAGCAGTGATGACAGCAGCTGGGGAGCTGCGTGTGAGTCCCTCGTGGGCAGTCCTGCCCCCTCTGCCTGGCCTGCGGAACAGGTGGGCGTTGGGGTGCATCCTGTCTGGGGCTCAGGGGCGCAGGCCTGCGCCGGGTGCCAGGAGGGACGTCACCCTGGGGAATGCTCAGCACCCTCGGGCGGGGCAGGCGGTTTTAAATTTGGAAACCAGGAGGGTTGTATCCTCTGATCCTGACGCGAGGTTGTATCCTCTGATCCTGACGCGACACG